CTGAGGAACGAGGCTGGGAGGCCGCTGCCCTCCAGGGAAGGGGGTCACTCGATGGGGAGGAAGGCAGGGACTGGCGAACACCCGCTCTCCATCCTCCACAATCCGCCCACCGGCCGCAGGGCAGCAAAGCGAGGGAAAACGGAAAGAATCGGCTCTGGCTACGGATCTGCAAGGCCCACTGAGAACAGCTTTACTGCCCCGCCTGCACAAGGGCCAGCACGTGGTGGTGGCCAAAACCCAAGAGAAGAGCATCAGATCCATAGAAAACCCTTCCTGATGTGCCCCCACAGCTGCCCCGAGCAGCGTCCCCAGCCCCGTCCCCAGCTCGGCCTCCAGGAGGGCAGGGAGAAGCACCCAGCCCTGCCGCGCGCCCGCACACCGCACGCGAGGACGAGGACAGGCCGACACGGCACCAGCCACACACAGACCGAGACCCTGACCCAAACACTGCACAAACGAGTGCCCCTTCACCCGCAGGGGCCACCCCGCAGCCCCCGGGAGGTCACTCGTCACCCAGCCGCGGCTCTGAACACCAGCCATAAACCCAAACAAGGAGGGATTCGCGGCCTCTCCTTGGCCGCTGATATCCTTGCTCACAAAGACAACTGCAGGGAAAGGGCAGCTGCGATTTCCCAGCACGGCCCTGGCAGGAAGCGGCTGCGGGAAGGTTTGTGCGGGAGCGGACGCAGCGCACGGGCAGCAAGGAGCGCCTGCTCGGCAGCATCCCCGGAGCACCGCGACGCGAGGGCAGAGCTGCTGTTTTCTTAATGCCAGACATAATCTGCGTTTGGCAGACACCTCTCAGAGGGCATTTATCCAAATGACTCCTTCCACGCATACACGAAAGCACAGAACTCCTCCTCCGCGATGGGGAGCTGCTCCCTTGGGAATGAGCTGCGTGGGGAAGGGCGGAGCTCGGATCCTCCCAAACCTGGCGACAAAGTCCGGGCGGCCCCGCTCTGGGGAACGGGAATACTGACAGCACCGACCAGGACAGCCTCCCGCCTGGGACCCCTGCCACCCTGCTGGAGGCTTTTCCAGGCCAACATTGCTAGAGGATTTTTTCAAAAAAAATCGAGGACTAGGTTTACTCCACTAAGTTCCTAGCTCTCCCTGAATGAAAGCAGAAGCACAGATCCCTACCAAAGGAATCATCCTAAAAATATATAAATATATATATATATATATATCCCATAGCAACCCCAACGCACCCAGAGGCACCTCCCTGCGCGAAGGGCGAGCAGCCACCGAGCCCCGAAGGCAGCAGAGCTCAGGGCAGCACGAACGCAGCGGGTCCCGTGGCCAACACGGCCACCCGGCAGGCGCACCGGGAGCCCCTCGCGTGGGAAAGGGCCCGGGACACAGAGGGGCTGCATGTGCCCCTTCCCAGCGGGGAAGCC